TTTTCGCTTGCCCCCGGACACTTCCCACGGTCTTCCTCTTCAGCTCCGGCGACGCAAACCCACCCGCCCCGCGTCGCTGCGGGGGCATGCCACTGTGAAGCGTTAACGCCAGTTCGATTGTAACCGCGTCGTCTTTCCAGCATCCTTGCCATTGGCTTGCCAGTCTCCCTTCCTCGCTTTCCTCTTCTGACAGGCATGCCTGTTATCAGCTTTTCATTCTTCTTCTGTCGGGGCCTGTCACTGCTGGCTTGCCGGCGGCGGAAGGAAGCGGACTTGGTGAGGGGCTTCCTTGGCCTTGGCTTCTTTGATCTGTCTTTGTATCTGAAAGCACTTCTCAGCTGTACGACTGTGTGATTGCACTTGCCACAGATTTGGCACTGGATTTTGTCAAGTCACTCCGCCTTGTCCAGACCTTCTCTCAGCGACCTCGCTCTCAGTCACTCCTGTGAAAAGCCGCTCAGTACCGATGATCAAGTCTCGCAGGTTGCTGCCTGTTCAAACCTCCGCCAGTGCTTCGGCTGCTGTTGTAGCAGCCTGGGTTGCCGTGCGCAGGGCAACGGCTAAGGGGTCCGTTGCTCATGCAACGCTAATTCATGAGTTGGCGCAGCCAACTGCTTTGCTGGCTCTGCCAGAAGCTTACTTGGCGCTGCCAGTATTCTTTTGATGGCTCCGCCATGATGTGGATGATTTTGGCTCTGCCATATTCTTTGAGCGAATCTTTTGCCTCTCCCGTTGGCCTTTCCTCAACTGCTTGCGGTGCTCTTCGATCTCGCGTTCTTCTAGTATCTTCTTGAGGCTTAAAGTCTTTTTCCGTAGGTACTCCTTCCAGAGCACGTTCTTCATGGCCTTTGTGAGACCATCAGCATGCTGTCGATGGGTAGGTACCCAAAAGAACCTGTAGATCTGCCGCTCCAGCAAGTCCTTGGCGACAAGCAAATCCAACATGGTTTGTCTTTCAGCCGGAATTTGGCCAGTCGCTCCAAGGTGATCGAAGAGGGATTTCGCATCTGTCACGATGCCGCCGCCAACACGAAGCTTATCGCGCCAGTCAGGGCCAACTTTGACGATGCCATGCAACATCATGTCCGCAATCAGGCGGATGTAGAGGCGCCTGTCAACCGCCACTCTGAGCGAACACGACTCAGCTGCCATAGAACTTCGAACAACTCTGCTGCTCTTGTTGGTTGTATAGTCGATCACTGCAGCAGGTTGTGGTCCATGGATGACATCCTCATTGGATAGAAAGTGGATCGCACCAAGTTGCGATTTGCCATCTTTCTCCTTTCCCAAGCTGGCATCAAAATATGTCACCAAGTACAGCTTGCCACGAATCCGAGGATATGGTAGAGAAGCTCTGCCTTGTCGCGCTTCCTCCTTACATTCCTCGTAGAGCTGGAGAGCTGCCTTGTAATCTCCCATCATGGCCTTTGTTGCACGCTGTGCCAGCTTGCTCGTCTTGTAAAGAAGCTGTGGCATAGACTGTTGACCAAGCCATCTCAGCCTCATCACAAGCTGTCGATACGCTGTCAGTTGCTGGGCATCAAGTGGCTTGTCATCATTCCGGGGCTCCAACTTCATATTGGGCAAAGCAATTTTGGCGATGTAGTTCGACATGTCATCATAGAGCTCGCCCTTCTTTTGCTTGAGGTCCACGCCCAGGAAGGTCAAAGGAATCGACTTCCATTCTTTGATCGCGAACATCTTGTTGATGTCATTCTTCAACTTCTGAAAGCGTGAGTCAGCCTCATCTCCAAACAAGAGTCCATCATCAACATGCAGGCTGAGAATGCTCCAGGCTTTGTTGCCTTCTGCGGCCACAAAACTGCTCTTGCTAATAGGTAGTTCTTCTAAAGGTGTGGTCGTGAGCAATTTGCTGGCTCGCAAATACCATAGCCTTGGGCTCTCAACTAAGCCATATGCAGAACGAAGGATCTTCATCAATTCGCCAGCTCGGACTGGAGGTTCTCCTTCAACTGCTGGCAAACCTTCTTCTGGAGCTCGGACATAGACATCTCTGGTGAGGTTCTCTCCTGAAAGGAATGCCGTGGTCACATCAAACGACCATCCTTTCCATCCATTTCGAACCATTGCTGCCACTCCTTGGCATCTGACTTGAGAAACTCTGCGCGCTCCTTCTCATCAAAGAACTTCGGGTCTAGTTCTTTTCCACTCTGCTTGAGCTTGAGAAGCATCACTTCAGCCAACAGATGATCGCGCAGATCTTCCATCCAAAGATGCTCAAACTGGCGGCGCTCCTCCTCATTCAAGTTGGCCTCAAAGATTCCATCAGGACGCTGAATTTTTTTTTGTCTTCTTCTCTGTAGGCGGTGGCTCGGTCTTCAAAAAGAAGGTCATTCCCCGCCATGGAAAAGATGCCTTCCGCCGGGGATGTTTTGCAGCCTCCTCTTGATCTTCTTCCACAATAAAAATATTGTCCGGATCCTTGCCCATCAAAATTGTCACCCGAGCTCGCTTGCGAGGAGGTCTCATGAACCGTTTCCGTGGAAAGCGATGCAACCTCGCAGCAGCAATTGGCAATCCAGTGAGTTGCCGAAGCAGTTCCACTTCATAGCGGGTGATCCATTCATTGGCAGGTCCTTCTGAAACAGTGGAGGTGAGCACCTGCATGAACAAGGCAGTGCTCGGTCTGGCCTTCTTGAGAGGAAGTTCTGTTGTAGTGGATCCTTGCAATTTCCGCTTGACGCTGAAAGGAACATCATCCGTAAGACGCTGTCGTCTAGCCTCTGTAGGCATCTAAATTGATGGCTGATCGGGTTGTGACTGCGCGGGTGAAGTCGGTGCGTAAGACAGGCCATCCGAATCATCCTCGATCGGCGCGTTTTCTCCGGATACGGGAGCAGGTTCACGCGGTGGCTCAGCCACATCAGATGTATTTGGCTCTGCCAACGGTGCTGGTGGTGGCTCAGCCACATCAGGAGAAATGTTCTCCAAAGCCAGGCGCCGCCTCACGACACGCGGCGCCGGTTCTAATGGCGCTGCCACTGGTTGTGCAGGTAGAGGAACTTGAGGTACTTCTTCACGATGTAGTGGAGCCTCAGGTGCCGCTGGCAGTTCCTTTCTCTTCTTCTGCTGTGGAAATTGAGACATCCGAGGGCGCTGCTGCAGTAATCTCCGTACTGCTTTTGCGCCTTTCAGGACGTTCTTTGCTCTCAGCCTCTGTGGGTCTTCGGGGGGACTTCTTCCAGGGTCTCGGAGGCGGTGGTTTGGCTCAGAGGTCCTGGTAGATGTTGGATCCTGTGGGATCCCTCAGCAGTTCTTGAATGTCCAGGACGTCCGAAAGCGCAAGCTCCTCTGGCGTTGCGAGCCTCATGTTCTCCTCTGCCAGCAGGAGTAGTCTCCCCCGCCAACTTACGAAGTACCTTTTGCGCTGCTCTTGTACTAGCACGGTAGCGGGACCGCGCCACTGGCCACTGTCATGGTTGTAGCGCTTGAGTTGCGGCGCCCAAAAATAGACTTGAGCGCCAGACATGAATGGTCCTGTAGCTGTAGGTGGCTTGCGTAGCAATGTCCTCCGAAGTTTGTCTCGTACATCTTGACGAATAAGAGCTACACGAGCTGTCGCGCGCATCTTGTGCGCACGAGCCACCTCGCTATCCGCGGACAGGCCTTGAACGAAGCTCATTCCAACATCCTCTGCAGTCAAACTTGGCCACTTGTGTTCAATGCCAAATACCCTTTGATTTGGGGTATAGCCATCTTTGGTCAGAGTAGCATTCTTGGCCATCACTGCGCAGGACAAAGCTTTCTTCATGTGTGTGTAGCCTGTGATGCCACGCTCATCCACAATCGCCTGGAACATGACTCCCAGTGTTGCTCCATGGCGTTCGCCTGCGCTCAACCCAGCTGCATAATGAGCTCCTGTCACCTTTGACGGAATCGCCAAATCTTCCAGTAGTGCATGGAACGATTGCTCAATTCACCTCCTTGGTCATGAGTGACCTGTGCAGGACAACCGTATAGAGCGATCCAGCGCCTCAGGAACTTCTCAGCAACATAGTCTGAGCGGCGATTCTTGAGCATGACTGCATCGTGCTTGATGGTACCTAGGTCCAGAATGCTCAGACACACATACTTATTTTTCCTGGAGTCATACAGGTACTTCAAGTCCAAATGAAGATGCACATTAAAGCCAAATGGTCTTGTAGACACAGTAGAGGGCTTCGGGTGCCTTGGAGCCTGTCGCGCTGCACACACTGAGCAGTGATGCTTGCTGGCATATCGCAATGCATCTTGGCTGGCTCCACCCAATTTCAACATACGAGTCAATGAAGCACGAGTTGGGTGCCCCAGCTGCCTGTGAGCAAACTCCACAGCTTTGCGCGTCTCCGCGCTGATGGGGCGGCTTTCATCGTCATCTGGGCCTTGATTCTCAGCGCCGTCAAAACGTAGGGTGTCATCAAGTTGGGTTTCCTGGCGGCTCTTTTGT